ATTCGTGGTGGAGCTATGGGATCACCATTTACAATGACATTAGCAAATATCTATATGTTTGAATGGGAACAATCATTAATTGAATATCAAAAGGCACACAATGAAATCTATGGTCGGTAAATTATTTTCGAACGAAAACAAACTTTTCTTTAATTGCTATACTTTCTTCTTTCAATTTTGTACCAAATAGATATATTGATGATTTCTTTATGACGACGAATTGATTATCTGATCTCAAAGTTCAATTAAATATTATCGAGACAAAAGATGCAAATATTCGAATTACTACAACAACTAGTTCAAGAATAGAATTTGTTGATGTACTAGTTGAAAATAATCATGGACAATTGAGAACTTCAGTATTTCATAAACCGGCAGCTGAACCCTATTTTATACCATTTTTATCAGATCATCCACGTCATATTCATCGTAATACAATCAAAGGACAATTAATTCGAGCAGCACGTGTCTGTTCTCATGTCAAAGATTTTAACAAGGAAAGATTGAATATTGAATTTACTTTACTATTAAATAGCTATCCACCAAGATTAATTTCTTATCATTTTAAAAAATTCTTTCAACAAAATAATATTTCACTCTTAATGGAAGAACTAGATCAAACCATATATCAAAGGTTTCACCGACATCTGATAAATAAACCAACACGAAGAGAACATCAAATGCAACAACGAGCATCAAATATAAATCAATGTCAATATACAAATAAGAAAGCGATTCGTGGATATTATACTTTTGAAACGGGTCCAATGTTGAAGTTCAGCGATGAATTACGAAGTCTATGGAAAAAGCACTATCAAGATAATCATCCAATTATGTTATGAAACATGTCGCTTTACAGATATGTACAATCTCCAATAGAAATCTAAATCAATTATTGGTAAAAAAGAAACCGCCTCAAGCAATGTTAATTCATGTTCCACGCAATACCGCAACAACAGCACAGGATTAACCATAATACGGTTTTTCCATATTATTATAGACATGTAATAATTTACAACCTATACAAACATTTCAACATCAATATTCATTGTCTTATATCATTCTTATCCACACGACACCATTTTTCTTCATTTTTCCTATTCATTCTGCTTTGTTATCTTACTTACCCTCTCACAGAAGTTAAACTTTTAACCCGCACATATTCCTTTTCCTTCTTCTTCTAGATATAATGAAAGACCCTTGAAAAAGGTCGAAATCTAGATCGTGGTAACTAATTTGTATAACTCACCCTATATAAATTGGATTATCTGCTGCTTCCGAAATTTATGCTTCGTAAATTGAAAGATTTCTATCTTTTGATTTGTTTGAGTTAAATTTGTATATGCAGATTACTAAACCACCTGATGAAAGACCCTTGAAAAAGGTCGAAATATAGATCGTGGTAACTAATTTGTATAACACACCCTCACCCTCACCCTACAGTATTAGATCTTTCATGTAATCAAATTGAAGATAATGGAGCACAATACTTGGCTAATTTGTTGGAGAAAAACGAAGTAATTAAACTTTCAGCCCCAGTCTAGTTGTTTGATTCTAATTCATGTCTTTATTAGAAACTACATAGAATTGATCTTCGATCAAATCGAATTGGAAATACTGGCGCACAACAAGTTGCTTTAGCTTTGAAAAATAATAAAGTAAAGGAGTTTCTTTTCTATACATTTCAATATTCAAAATCAATTCGATGTTTTTCAATATAGCTAATTGAGAAATTAATCTTAGCGGAAAATAGTATTTCCAAAGAGTTGCAAACGCATCTGGAGAAAGAAGGCAAAAGATTAAAGTTTTTGGTGCTGGTAAAGATGGGTATAAAATTGATTAGTATTAAGTAATCTTTTTTTTTATTTGTTTTAAATAAAAGACATGAAATGATTCTTTACATCTCTCTTTATACACAATTATAATCATTGTGTTGACATCATGAAATCGCCATGGAAGACAAGAGTGTTTTGGTTTACCTATTTAAAGTATATGAGAAAGCTGCCCATAAGTCGAAATGAGTACATTGAATTTTGTCGGGCGACAGGCACCCTAACCGTTGCTTTTCGTTTTTTCCTTCCATCCGGTGCATGTTGAATGTAGTCGGAAAAATATGTACGCCATACACTGTAACAGATAGCATCTGTAAGAACGAATATTATTTTATCCATAGACTACAAATGCATTTTTATTTTTCATTGTGTAAAATTTGATCAGACTCCCCAGAATCTAATAATTCTGATTTTTTTGTCAAATTTTATTTAGCGATGCCCATGCTGAAGACTCTTCAATAATTAAATAAAAATTTTCACTCAAATCTAGCACTCAATTCGACATATATTGCTTATCCATGTGGCTAAATATCTAAACATGAACTTCAACACAGTATTTGAGTAGGAAATGAATTCAGCGGTGAGAATAAATTTTTGTCTTTTGATCTATTATAATAATAATTATTATTATCAAACAGAGGTAGGACAAGTACACGTACACAAAGTACACGTACAAGTACTTGTACGTGCATGGATATACCTGTACTT